TAGGCACCTCCCTCACAGGCGTGGCCGATGAGTTGAAGGAGAGAATGCCCGCCTAGGCCAAGATGAAAAAGGAGAGTAAAGGACAACTAGTTTTAGTAGATGTAGAAGTTTTTAGAAGAAGAGTAGGAGCCCTTATAGATTCAGGGGCTACCCGCAGTTATATTAGCCGTAGGGCGCTGAAGAAGCTGAGGCTAGGGCTGAAAGTCCAGAAGTTAGAAGATCCCATAGTGAGTGTCCTCGCAGACAATCGCACTATGCGTGTTGAGGACTACGTAGAGGGAGTCCAAGCGTATTTCCGCCTAGAGAAAGATGGGAAGGTGGAGAAAGTTCTCCATTCCCTGACCCTCCTCGTACAAGACGACCTTCCTTTTAATATAGTCCTAGGTATGGACTGGGGAGAGGCAGCAGGGGCCACACTCCATCTGAGAGAACACGAGTGTAGGCTCCCTAGTCCGTCAGGCGAGGTTAAGACTGCCCGTCTGTTCCATGCGTCAGGTGTAGACAATACCCTGGCACATTGTTGTCTCAGTGCTCATGCGTTCGCACGATTAGTGAAAAAGGAGAACTTAGAGGAGCATGTCTTCGTAGCTTACGTAAGGCCTGTAAGTGAGCCTAAGGAAGAGAAGCCCGTCAACCCAGCTATTGCCAAGCTGCTGGAAGAGTTCAAGGATTTAGCTGAGTCGCCGACAGGAGTAGTACCGCGGCCCATCCAGCATCGCATTGAGATTGAGCCTGGCAGTAGGACTTCCAAAGGAGCGGTGTATAGAATGTCCCCGCGGGAGTTGGAGGAGCTACGCAAGCAATTAGGCGAGCTCCTAGAGAAGGGCTGGATTAGGCCCAGTTCGTCTCCATTTGGAGCGCTTGTTCTATTTGTCCCCAAGAAGGAGGGAGAGCTCAGAATGTGTATAGACTATAGGGGTTTTAATGCTATCACAGTAGAGAATGCAGAGCCGCTGCCCCGTATAGATGATCTTTTAGATTGGGTGCAGGGATGCAAGTATTTTTCGAAGATAGATTTGAAGTCCGGATATCATCAGATTGAGGTCCATCCTGATGATCAGTATAAGACCGCATTCCGGACTAGGTATGGGCACTACGAGTTTATAGTCATGCCCTTTGGAAGGACCAACGCGCCAACGGCTTTTTAGTGTTGTATGAATGACATGTTTAGGCCGTGGTTAGATAGATTTGTAGTAGTATATCTAGATGATATTCTAGTTTTTAGCAAGACCCTCCAAGAGCACCAGGGTCATCCGAGGCAGGTCTTGGAGAAGTTGAGAGAAGCTAACTTCAAGATAAACCCCAACAAGTGCGAGTGGGCAAAGACCCAAGTTTTGTACTTAGGCCACGTCTTGGACGCATATGGCATTAAGCCAGAGGATAGCAAAATCGCAGCGATTAGGGATTGGCCTACGCCCCGCACGCTGACAGAGTTGCGATCGTTCTTAGGCTTAACGAACTACTACCGGAAGTTTGTGAGAAACTTCTCGACCATCGTTGCACCCCTTCGCAGATTGCTGAAGAAAGAAACAATCTGGAAGTGGGATAAGGATTGCACATCTGCCATGAAGAAGTTAAAGCAGGCGTTGATAGAGTATCCAGTCCTTAAGGTCACCGATCCGTCCTTACCTTTTGTTGTTACCACTGACGCGAGCCAGTATGGCATAGGTGGTGTACTACAGCAAGACGATGGCAACAGCTATAGACCCGTAGAGTTCATGTCAGCTAGGATGCCTTCAGAGAAGGTAGTGACATCCACCTACGAGAGGGAACTCTACGCTCTCAGGCAAGCATTAGAACATTGGAAGCACTACTTGCTTGGGAGGCACTTCAAAGTCTATTCAGACCACGAGACATTAAGGACGCAGGCCAAGATGACACCTAAGTTGACTAGGTGGGCCGTCGAGATAGACCAGTACGACTTTGAGCTCAAGCCAGTCAAGGGCAAGTACAATGTAGTTGCGGATGCCCTAAGTAGGAGGTCAGCCTACTTTGGGGCGATAGTCCATTATCTGGATATCGGGAAGGACCTGCAACAGAAAGTTAGAGAGGCGTATGCGCAGGACCCTATCTACAATGACCTTCTTAAGAAAGTAAGGGAGGCCCCAGAGACCGAACCAGATTACCGCACTACAGAAGGGTTGTTATTCGAGAAGACTAATGTAGTTGATCGATTGTGCATTCCTAATAGTGAGGAGATCCGTAGCTTGATCCTAGGGGAATGTCACGACACGGAGGGACACTTCGGTTGGCAAAAGACCATAGCCAATCTGATGCGAGCGTACGCTTGGCCAGGGATGAAAAATGACTGCATAGAGTATGTCCGCAGTTGTAAAGTGTGCCAGAAAAACAAGACCACCACGCGTGCCCCTCTAGGTCTTCTCAAACCCTTGCCTATTCCTAACCAGCCCGGAGATTCAGTGTCCATTGATTTGATGGACACCAGCGTCAAGAGTAGGCATAGTAAGAGCCAAGTCATGGTCGTAGTAGATAGATTTAGCAAGTATGCAGTATTTGTTCCGTTGCCTGCGGAGGCACGTACAAAGTTAGTAGTTCAGAAGTTCTTTGATCATTGGGTCAGTGAACACGGGATTCCGCTGTCTATAGTTAGCGATAGAGACACCCGGTTCACTAGTCAGAACTGGCAGGAGTTAATGAGAGTATACGGCTCCAAGCTGTTGATGTCATTTGGCTGTCATCCAGAGACTAACGGTCAGACTGAGCAAATGAATAAGCTCCTACAGCAAGTTCTGAGAATGTACATTAGACCTGATCAGACTTAACTGGGATGAGATGCTCCCAAAGGTAGCCAGTGCCTACAATAACAGCGTGCACCTGTCCACGTGTCGCACTCCCAACGAGTTACACAAGTCCTTTCGACCACGCAGACCGTTTGAGGGACTTAACAGGGATCAGATTCATAGGCTACCGCCTGGTACTAGGGAGTTTGCGTTACAGCACAAGGAGGAGTTGGCTACCGTTGTAGAGAACCTTAGGAAGGCCCAGCATAGGATGATAGAGCAAGCCAATAAGCATCGTCGCCCGTCACAGTTTCAAGTAGGCGACTTAGTCTGGGTCAAGTCTAAGGAGTTTGCTCCTGAGGAGAATATCTCGCAAAAGCTATTGCCCGCGTATAGAGGACCATGGCCAGTTCTAGAAGTTAAGGGCGGAGAGGATGGGCCGTCCTATACAGTAGAGATTCCAGCGCACCTCCACACCTACCACGTATTTCACGGATCAAAGTTATTGTCGTGTGTCACAAGTCAACAATTTCCCTCTAGAAGGTCCATGATCCCTCCGGATATGGATGGAAGATACGACATTGACGGCATTGTAGGTGAAGATATTTTCAGGACAGGAGGTAGAGGTCGTCCTCAGAAACAGTACAAGGTTCGATTCGCATATCAGGAACCAGAAGACGACCGCTGGTTTACCAGAACTGAACTTCTAGAAACAGCTCCCGACATAGTCAGGGCCTATGAAAGAGAGAGGAAAGGTAAAGGTCCTGCCTTGAACTGAGATATTCTCGGAGGACCTCGAATTTAGGCTGGCGGGAGTGAAACGGTTTTCACCTTTGCAGAGGCAGATGCAGATCCCGGGGTTTGATCCCCAGACCTTACCTCACCCATGTACAGTATCGAGTTGACCCCTGAGTGTTTGAACCCGTGACCTGTGTTTCGTGAGTTGTTGTTTGTCTGTCGTAGGACTGTGTGGACATAGGGATTCAATCTGTAGACCTGTCGAGTAGAGGTCTTAGAGAGTTCCAGAAGTCGGAGCTGTAGATGTCCTGAAGGGTCAACGTCGTAGCTGCTACAGTCCTGAAAGGTCTAAGTCCACACACTTCCGGAAGGTCCGGAAGTGGCCTTTCGCAGCTTGCTCACGTTTTAGACTGAGGCAAGTGGGCAAGTGGGCAAGTGGTGAACCAACTGCAGTACGTTCGCAGTACGATAGCGGTAGGTTAGCAGTGCGTCCCCATGCAGTCAGCGGTACAGTCCAGTCAGTCCCAGTCCAGTCCTGCAAGTACCATGGGGGACTGTGTGTACCATGGGCTGATGGAAAGGGGCAGACCAACGAGTTACAGAAGTATAAATCAAGAGGTAGCGCACAGCCGTTCATTCATTCCTGCGGAAGCCATGCGGAAGAGCTGCCACGGTGACTTGTGCGAGGTGGTCTGCAGAGGAGCCTGAAGTCGAAGTGGGCTAGAGGGAGTTAGTGCAGCCATAGCTGCTTGTAGAGTAGAGTTAGCTGGCGGCCATAGCTGCCATAGTTAGTGATAGGTGTGCATTCGTGTGTGTGCAGAGTGTGTGCGTGGGGTATCCAGGGTGATCCGGAGTTGAAGTGTGAAGCGAACAGTGGTGTTGGACACAGTGACAAGAGTTGCGATGTGTGGGTGCTGATACACCATAGCCTGTTGAAGCGAGCTAGCATCTGAACTGTGTCTTGGTTCCCGTTATTTCGAGCTTTGAGTTGGGCGCTATGCGCCAGTGTGATTTACCATCTGTTTGTATGCATGTGAAGTGACGAAGTATGCGAGTCTGATTGCAATTGACATGATTGACTCTTATTACGAGTAAGGTTTGATGTTGGCTTCTGCCTTGCAATTGATGTGGCACTCTTCGGTTATGTTGTACCCTCTTGGGGGGTGGTTCCAAGATGTTGCAACGAGTTGTTCTGCTGTGTGCTTTTTCCGTCCCATTTTTTTGTGTGCTGGTCAGGGGAGTCGCACTACAGGTGTGATCCCTGCTACATGGCCTTTGTTTTTTTCTTTCTTTTCAGACTTTTCTTTTGTTCTTCTGTCTTTTAGCATGATGGCGGTTATTCGTGTGAAATTTATGAAATGATTTACATCATTTCACGCTGTTGGACATCCTTTCCTACCACCTGCTGGATGTGAAATTCTCGCCCGGTATGGTAGCCAGGGTGGCACCTGCTCTGGCTTGTTGCTCCTTGTCTTCTATGCTGAGTTTCTGGTTTTCAATGTTGTCTGCTACCTTCCACAGCTTCGAAATGACAGACAATGCAGGTGAGACTAGGAGAATAAGCGTTGCAGAGTACTTCAGCAAGACGTACGGCATCGAGCTGTATTATCCGCATCTTCCATGTGTAGTTGTCGGGAAAAAAGGGAACATGATTCCAATGGAGGTGAGTGTGGCCCTATGCACGAATGTGCTGGACCAGTACCTCAATGAGGCAAGGTTCAAGTAAAGCCATGATCTCAGTATTTGTATGTTGGCATGCAATCACACCTTAACCCCCCACCCCCCACCCTGCGCTAAAAAAGTCGGGGGACCGGTAGTACAAGTTAACGAGGGCTATCGGTAGCGTAGTGGAGGATCGGTAGAGTGACAAAAATGGAATTTGCGCCGAATCGGCCCGATGATCATCTCACTGCCTAAACATTTTTTTTTTTTTTCCTGATATTTTTCCTGGAAAGATCACGACCAAATCTATGGGATCACAAGTTTTCAGATTATTATGAACTTGATAAATTGCTGAAGTTGAGTACTTTTCCGTTGGCCAATAGGTGGCAGGGTCGCGAAAATGGAAAATGCACTGAATCGGAACGGCGTGACGGCGAGTATTTCACTGTCTAAACAATTTTTTTTTTCCTAATATTTTTCCCGGAAAGATCATGACCAAACCGACCGGATCTCAAATTCTCAGATCTTTTAGTGCATTCTCCTGAGCGTGAAGAATTGGCAAAGTTTGAGCTCCCCCCCCCCGGAAAGATCATAACCAAACCGACCGGATCTCAAATTCTCAGATCTTTTGGTGCATTCTTCTGAGCGTGAAGAATCGCCAAAGTTTGAGCTTCCCCCCCCCCCTCCTCTTCCACCGAACTCAGCTTGAATTGTCGCCAACGTCTATTTCTTCCCAGCTACCGGCCGATGAAGGTCCCGGAAAGCCACTTTTTCGATGTCAGGGGAAGTGGTGGTTTAAGGCCCCCAGGTATGATAGGGAGCTCTGGACCACTCCCTGTGCAATGCTCTTGTGTCCTGCACTGCTCCCTCCCTTTCCTTCATGGTGACTGGCGCCCTCATCTGCGTGATTGAAAGAAGGGTTTTGAACTTTGAAGTCTTTATCTATGAGACAATTGTCCCTGTCAGTGCTTTTTCGTCATTGTCCGTCCTTAAATGTACACACTATCATTGCATAGAAAAGATAATGCAGAGTAACAAGTTGAATGAGAGTCCAAAATGATTATGAGCAGGAATTAACGCATGCAAAATGAAGGCAACCTGGCAACATGATTTTGGCAAAGGAAATTACGGGACTAATGCTACAACCATCTGGTGAAGCTTCATTGCATAAATGTGCGCACTCTTTGAGAAAAGAGGATGATTGCATATGTAATGCGGCTAATGCCCCTATGCAACAAAGACACACAAAAATGGGCTCGACATCACCCAGCCCTGCTTGCAGTACAGTGGAGCTGGTCGTTGCACGTTGATCGTCACTGCTTTGTCTTTGTTCTTTACCTGCTTCCTTGTCGTGTGATGCTTTCTTCTTTACAAAAAAAAGGTTGTTTTGAATTTTTTCTATGGCACTCTAATTTCCACAGGCAGAGCTGCAATGTCTTATCTTGTCATGGCTACTGTTCAGACATCTGGACATCTGACTGAATGGTCTGGTGTCAAGTGTCATGGTGTTGGACATATATAGACCTGTCTGCAATAACAGAAAATTGCTCTGATTTGGGCATCTGATCCGCATCTGGACATTTTCAGCTGTACCAACCAAATTGAAATGAAGAATCCAAGTTATCTATTTTTGAAGAATGGCACCTGGCTCCACTCCAGTTGTGTCACATTCAGATCTGAGACAGGCTCCACCCCGATTTTGACACATTCTGCCTGGCGCACCAAGTCTGGAGAGCTGCTGAAAGAGAAAGTGCTAGTGCTGGGAGGGAAAGGGAGAGAGAGTGGTGCTTGGCACCGTAGCTGGATAAATGAAGATGCCAGTGCATTGTAGATGTTTTTCTTTGTGGGTGGGGTTGAGGGGGGGGCCGCGAGAGAGAGAGAGAGAGAGAGAGAGAGAGAGAGAGAGAGAGAGAGAGAGAGAGAGAGAGAGAGAGAGAGAGAGAGAGAGANAGAGAGAGAGAGAGAGAGAGAGAGAGAGAGAGAGAGAGAGAGAGAGAGAGAGAGAGAGAGAGAGAGAGAGAGAGAGAGAGAGAGAGAGGGTTGAGACCAGAGCCTGTAGAGAGAGAGGCTTACCTGATGGTCGCAGACTGGTGAAAGACATTATCGCTATCACATTCTGCATTGTTAGTCGGTTTCATGTGTGATGACAATGTGAGATTCAGAAGTCAGGCTTATTGCCAATGACTATTTCTTTAGCTGCTACTCACTTGAAATGAAGGGGAGCTAAAGGCATGATGTGTCAACAGAGTAAAAAAAAGTTAAAAAGAAGAAACTGCGTAGGCAGTGAAAGCAACTTCCGGGTGAGAGTCGACTCAAAACTTGCAAGCAAATTTGAGAAAAGTCTTTAAAAGGGGGGGAAATTTCCGATAACACATACAACAAAGTTTAGAATTGGACGTAAAGCAAATTTGAGTTGTCCATACTGTTCAGATTGTGGCATCGGAATCCACTTTGTATCTGGCGCTGGTGTAGCGATGATGTCTTAGGGATATCCTTTTTGGTACAAATTTTCAAATGAGTTCTTGTTTAACTTTCCCTCTGCCTCCTCCCTGCCCCCCCCACATCCCTCCCCCCCTTTTCTCAGGGCAATAGAGGAGGTATTATTGAAATTAAACTATGCTGTCAGAGGCTGCGGTATTCAAGGGCAAAAACTTAGGTGTGGGACCTTGGGTTCTCTTTTTCACTTTTTTATGGAAGGGTCGGGTGAGCTAGCGCACCCGTTTGACCCCTCCGTGGTCGTTGTCCACATCTCACTCTCTCTACGTTTGTATGTGCCAGCTGTGCAAGATATTGCCAAATCAGCGATATCGAAAGAAGCTGGACGATTCTCAAGTGACAGATATGTTGCGGTTCGCTCAGGAGAGGCCACAGCAGCGCCAGGGGAGTATTCTTAAGGTACGATGATCTGAAGTTCTGAACTGGCCCTTATTTCGTGATCCTACCTTCATTAGTCCATGAATAAGAATGACTGCACATCTGTCTCCTTCTCAGAAGTTTGACAGTCCCATTTGAAGGATGCTTGCACGCGCATTTGTCGATGCTATGCATTAATTTCATGGTCTGATCAGGTGAGAAATCTAGAAAAATCTGTACCAAGGCCAGGAGGAGATCAATGACAAGTTCAATAAATCGGTCCTAGGCTGAGAGAAGATAGGGACTCTCAAGTCCGAGCATATGAAGTTGAAGTGAGAAAGAGGAACATCAGGGTCTTTGGGTCCACACGCAGGCCTGGACGAGGAATCGATGCGCAGTATGGCAAACTCTCAAAGACTCAGCTTGGGCTCAGTCTAACAAATGCAACCTTATCCTTATCATGATTGGTACATCAGGCGTTCCGAACAGCAGGGTTTGAGAGGGAGAGGCTTGGGAGGCTTCATAGGAAACCCTGTTTGTTGAGTGTTAGACAGGTACGCAAGTCAGGCATTGAGGAAACCAGGCAACTAGTGGAACAGGGGTGGAGCGGGGGTATATCCTTCGGAAATGAGAAGTAATCGATCCTGTGTCTCAAGGTCTCTTGGCCATAATGGAGGAAGCGTTTCGTGGGTGCTTCTATGTAAGGGATGCTGGACCCGTTTTCCAGTACATAACACAATGGACTGTTCATTTTATTTTTTATTTTTTTTAAGTCCACTTCATTCAACTAATCTTTTAGTGGATTGCTCTTGCTGTCATCTATTGGGGCCATATCTGTTTCCTTGAAGACGACAACACACAGGAATAGCTTAAGCTGTGTACCGCCCAGAACCGTGCCCAGAACCGGGACTTAGACAGTGACCACTGCTCCGTCTTTGAGACTGCTTTTTTTGAAGGGACTTGGCCAACAGGATGGGAGCGGACCTTAAATAGCATGGGCTATTTGCGGTTAATAAATGTGGAGGCGGACCGCAAATGATTGTTAATCCTTCCCGCAGGAAGCAATCAATCCTGTCAGGGCTCTCCGGACCTTAACATGTGGAGAAGTTCGAGTGGTTAATAAATTTATTGACTTGTTGGTGGAATAGGAACCGAACTGATGATCCCCAGAATAGGAGCACCGCCCAAGAGGGATCACTTTCGTCGAAAACATAAAAAAACTGTCTTTCTGCTTGGATCTAGATGACCCCACCTCTCCCATATCACAAGTGGTTGAAGTGGAGTAAAACAATTCTTCTCAGGATTTGGAGGAGCTGCAATGATCTCGCTCAATTCACATCCATTCTGCAAACATGCATGCTCATGGTTCGTTCACTCAAAACTTGCACACCAAAACAGCGAGATGAAACCCACATGAGAACTCAAATTTATTACGAAAAACTTAAAAACTTAGTTATAAAACTTCTAGTAGAAATTCCTCGCAGTATACAGCCGGCAGCTATGGGTGCTGTTTGCTCAATCCAGGTTAGTTGCTCTCTCTCTCTCTCTCTCTTTCTCTCTCTCTCTCTCTCTCTCTCTCTCTCTCTCTCTCTCTCTCTCTCTCTCTCTCTCTCGTGTGAAAGAGGAGAGAAGAGTATCCTTCGGGACAGTGTTGCACACCCTCACCGTTGGTGACCCTTGACTGGTCGGCTGCCGACCCGCCGACCGGTCGGCTGGTCGGCACCTACCGGTCGGGGGTCATCAGCACCCCGCTAAATTTTTATTATTATTATTATTATTATTATTTTTTGGGTCCACAACCCCTAATAACCCCATGAACACCCCCATACCCCAAATACCCCCATACACACCCACCAACCGCCCCCCAACACCCTCATACCCCCCCCCAGTACCCCCTATACCACCCCTTACCCCCTATATCCCCCTATACACCCCTCCCCCATTCCCCATCCCCAAAAATTTCTCAGCGGATTTAGGCTGTACTCAGCAAGCGGAGTACAGCTTCCAACTCAGATCTGAAAAAAAATAGTGGATGGTTGTTTTCTGACTGGTTGGCAGACCGCCAACCGGTCGGCCCTACTGGTCAGCTGCAATACGGTCGGCAGCCAGGGTCGGCGATCGGCAGGGATGCAACCATGCTTCAGGACATACATTAAATTTGGAATGATACAGAGTAGCATGAGCCCTGTGGAAGGATGACACACATAAATCGAGAAATGACCCCCCCCCCCAAAAAAAAAGAAAAAAGAAAAAGACCATGGAGAGAGTGGAGGCGAACTATCGAAAACGATAACCAAGAATAATACTCGAAGCTCCCTCTGACCTCAAAAGCCCTCCATCCATCCCATTGATAAATCTTACTACTGAAATAATCTTACACTCGTAGGAAGGATAACCTCCCCTCAGCCTGCACGGTCTCTCCAGTGCTCTCATTGTCTCTCGAGTGCTTCTTTGCACTTGTGCCTGTGTTGCTGAGTTATGACTTCCAGTCTCTCACTAAGTGGAAAGCACAGATTGTGCTGTTGGGAGAAGGAAACAGCCAAATAATGAAGACGGAGTAGCTAAAGAACAACACAAGCCCCACCGAAATACACTCGGCAATCCAGTATGACCAACTGAAAAGGAAGCAAGCCAAGGAAAAGAGAGCAGGCCACCCAAATAAAGAAACCACCCGGCTGTCCAGTACGGTCAGGAAAAGAAAACGATGCAGTCCAAGAAAAAAGGCAATGACCCATCCGAATAAAGAAAACACCTGGCAGGGTCTGAGTTCAGCCATCTAATGAAACGGGGTAGGCAGGCAGGGCAGGATTATTCTGCTATGTTTTTGTAAACGCCTCAACTCTTGGTTTGTTTAAAAGCAAAAGCAAATAAGGTGGGGGAAATCTCCCCTACCCTGCACCCGTAAGCGAAAACGGAAAGAAAAGTGTGGAAAGGCAGGGTTTAGAGGAGCTTTGTGGGATACTGAGGGTGGGGCCTGAGCATCGAGTGTGGATATGATTGAGTTGTCTTGCTGATGGCGTAATTTTTCATTCTGTGACAGATGCATGGCACAAATACTCAAGATGAGAAAGCCTATCTTCAAGAGTTTGGTATCCAGTTTGGCAATGAGGGCGGCATGGAGTGTGGATATGATTGAGTTGTCTTGTTGATGGCGTAATGTTTGATTCTGTGACAGATGCATGGCAGAAATACTCGAGATGAGGAAGCCTATCTTCAAGAGTTTGGTATTCATTTTGGCAACGAACTGATGCGGATTCCGGGAAGACTTCTGCCGCCTCCTACGGTAAGCCACTGAGCATATTGACAATGTCTCCATATTTGCTTGCAAAGTGATAGGGTCCTACGCAATTGTTGTGTACTCATAGCAAATCTCCACCACTATGAAAATCACAAATCTAAAAGTACTCTAATCCATACTCTGTGGTTCTACCGGGCCCGTGGCCTGTGGCTTGGACCATTACACAGATGTAACGAATGAGCGACTTAGGTTGTCACCATTTTACTAGTGCAACATTCAAGATCATTTTCTGATCTCAGAATCGTAATATCCCAGAACAATCCAGGCCATTGTCCCTGTCCTACCAGGCAAACGGCCCCGATCGTCTTGATCTTAGAAAGTTAAGATTGTACGCCGTTCGAGCTTGTTGGACAGGTCCTAATGGGCCTCAGTAGCCTTGATGAAAAGTTCAGCAAAAGCCCAACGTTTTTTAGCAAAGGTCCTCATGGCGCTTTTGAAACACGTTTGCATTCTTCAGCCCCTGCCTCAGGTTGATGAAAAAGATGATATTACCCCCACCTGCTTCTGCTCCTTTTGTTCCCGGTCTCCCTGCTTGCTGCCAGTCGCCCAATGCCTATCCCCTACCCGTCCTACCTCTGTGTCTCGTTGTGTGTGTGTGTGTGTGTGTGTGTCTGTGTGTGTGTGTGTGTGTGTGTGTGTGTGTGTGTGTGAGAGAG